AACCAATCTCACAGTTTGGGGCTTTTTACCCGTGAATCTTCACTTTGCGACTAAACTATTCACAGCAGTGCCAAATTTTTTGGGTCACAGAATGTGGGTGCCAGCGCCCTACAAGCAAACCAAAAATCAAATCAATGCGACAACTGACATTACAGCTGGGTCATGTTATAGAGAGGTACATTGAAATTCAAAGGTCAGCACAAATGGTCAAAATCCGACATTTTCTCACATTCCTGCCCGTTCACAGCTCAGAAAATGACAATGACCAGCCTCATCTCGTTGTGCAGCTGGACATAGACAAGTGCACCAAGAAAAAGAGCAACATTTCTCTAAAGAACTTGCCCAGGGCTGATGAAAGCTGAAAAATAACCAATCTCTCAGTTTGGGGCTTTTTACCCGTGAATCTTCACTTTGCGACTAAACTATTCACAGCAGTGCCAAATTTTTTGGGTCACTGGATGTGGGTGCCAGCGCCCTACAAGCAAACCAAAAATCAAATCAATGCTACCACTGACATTACAGCTGGGTCATGTTATAGAGAGGTACTTTGAAATTCAAAGGTCAGCACAAATGGTCAAAATCCGACATTTTCTCACATTCTTGCCCGTTCACAGCTCAGAAAATGACAATGACCAGCTTCATCTCGTTGTTCAGCTTGACATAGACAAGTGCACCAAGAAAAGGAGCCACATTTCTCTAAAGAACTTGCCCAGGGCTGCTGAAAGCTTAAAAATAACCAATCTCACAGTTTGGGGCTTTTTACCCGTGAATCTTCACTTTGCGACTAAACTATTCACAGCAGTGCCACATTTTCTGGGTCACTGAATGTGGATGCCAGCGCCCTACAAGCAAACCAAAAATCAAATCAATGCGACCACTGACATTACAGCTGGGTCATTTTATAGAGAGGTACATTGAAATTCAAAGGTCAGCACAAATGGTCAAAATCCGACATTTTCTCACCTTCCCGCCCGTTCACAGCTCAGAAAATGACAATGACCAGCCTCATCTTGTTGTGCAGCTGGACATAGACAAGTGCACCAAGAAAAAGAGCCACATTTCTCTAAAGAACTTGCCCAGGGCTGCTGAAAGCTGAAAAATAACCAATCTCAAAGTTTGGGGCTTTTTACCCGTGAATCTTCACTTTGCGACTAAACTATTCACAGCAGTGCCACATTTTCTGGGTCACTGAATGTGGGTGCCAGCGCCCTACAAGCAAACCAAAAATCAAATCAATGCGACCACTGACATTACAGCTGGGTCATGTTATAGAGAGGTACTTTGAAATTCAAAGGTCAGCACAAATGGTCAAAATCCGACATTTTCTCACCTTCCTGCCCGTTCACAGCTAAGAAAATGACAATGACCAGCCTCATCTCGTTGTGCAGCTGGACATAGACAAGTGCACCAAGAAAAAGAGCCACATTTCTCTAAAGAACTTGCCCAGGGCTGCTGAAAGCTGAAAATAACCAATCTCACAGTTTGGGGCTTTTTACCCGTGAATCTTCACTTTGCGACTAAACTATTCACAGCAGTGCCAAATTTTTTGGGTCACTGAATGTGGGTGCCAGCGCCCTACAAGCAAACCAAAAATCAAATCAATGCGACCACTGACATTACAGCTGGGTCATGTTATAGAGAGGTACATTGAAATTCAAAGGTCAGCACAAATGGTCAAAATCCGACATTTTCTCACCTTCCTGCCCGTTCACAGCTCAGAAAATGACAATGACCAGCCTCATCTTGTTGTGCAGCAGGACATAGACAAGTGCACCAAGAAAAAGAGCTACATTTCTCTAAAGAACTTGCCCAGGGCTGCTGAAAGCTGAAAAATAACCAATCTCACAGTTTGGGGCTTTTTACCCGTGAATCTTCACTTTGCGACTAAACTATTCACAGCAGTGCCAAATTTTTTGGGTCACAGAATGAGGGTGCCAGCGCCCTACAAGCAAACCAAAAATCAAATCAATGCGACAACTGACATTACAGCTGGGTCATGTTATAGAGAGGTACATTGAAATTCAAAGGTCAGCACAAATGGTCAAAATCCGACATTTTCTCACATTCCTGCCCGTTCACAGCTCAGAAAATGACAATGACCAGCCTCATCTCGTTGTGCAGCTGGACATAGACATGTGCACCAAGAAAAAGAGCAACATTTCTCTAAAGAACTTGCCCAGGGCTGATGAAAGCTGAAAAATAACCAATCTCTCAGTTTGGGGCTTTTTACCCGTGAATCTTCACTTTGCGACTAAACTATTCACAGCAGTGCCAAATTTTTTGGGTCACTGGATGTGGGTGCCAGCGCCCTACAAGCAAACCAAAAATCAAATCAATGCTACCACTGACATTACAGCTGGGTCATGTTATAGAGAGGTACATTGAAATTCAAAGGTCAGCACAAATGGTCAAAATCCGACATTTTCTCACATTCCTGCCCGTTCACAGCTCAGAAAATGACAATGACCAGCTTCATCTCGTTGTTCAGCTTGACATAGACAAGTGCACCAAGAAAAGGAGCCACATTTCTCTAAAGAACTTGCCCAGGGCTGCTGAAAGCTGAAAAATAACCAATCTCACAGTTGGGGGCTTTTTACCCGTGAATCTTCACTTTGCGACTAAACTATTCACAGCAGTGCCAAATTTTTTGGGTCACAGAATGTGGGTGCCAGCGCCCTACAAGCAAACCAAAAATCAAATCAATGCGACAACTGACAGTACAGCTGGGTCATGTTATAGAGAGGTACATTGAAATTCAAAGGTCAGCACAAATGGTCAAAATCCGACATTTTCTCACATTCCTGCCCGTTCACAGCTCAGAAAATGACAATGACCAGCCTCATCTCGTTGTGCAGCTGGACATAGACAAGTGCACCAAGAGAAAGAGCCACATTTCTCTAAAGAACTTGCCCAGGGCTGCTGAAAGCTGAAAAATAACCAATCTCACAGTTTGGGGCTTTTTACCCGTGAATCTTCACTTTGCGACTAAACTATTCACAGCAGTGCCACATTTTCTGGGTCACTGAATGTGGGTGCCAGCGCCCTACAAGCAAACCAAAAATCAAATCAATGCTAACACTGACATTACAGCTGGGTCATGTTATAGACAGGTACATTGAAATTCAAAGGTCAGCACAAATGGTCAAAATCCGACATTTTCTCACATTCCTGCCCGTTCACAGCTCAGAAAATGACAATGACCAGCCTCATCTCGTTGTTCAGCTTGACATAGACAAGTGCACCAAGAAAAAGAGCCACATTTCTCTAAAGAACTTGCCCAGGGCTGCTGAAAGCTGAAAAATAACCAATCTCACAGTTTGGGGCTTTTTACCCGTGAATCTTCACTTTGCGACTAAACTATTCACAGCTGTGCCACATTTTCTGGGTAACTGAATGTGGATGCCAGCGCCCTACAAGCAAACCAAAAATCAAATCAATGTGACCACTGACATTACAGCTGGGTCATGTTATAGAGAGGTACATTGAAATTCAATGGTCAGCACAAATGGTCAAAATCCGACATTTTCTCACCTTCCTGCCCGTTCACAGCTCAGAAAATGACAATGACCAGCCTCATCTCGTTGTGCAGCTGCACATAGACAAGTGCACCAAGAAAAACAGCCACATGTCTCTAAAGAACTTGCCCAGGGCTGCTGAAAGCTGAAAAATAACCAATCTCACAGTTTGGGGCTTTTTACCCGTGAATCTTCACTTTGCGACTAAACTATTCACAGCAGTGCCACATTTTCTGGGTCACTGAATGTGGGTGCCAGCGCCCTACAAGCAAACCAAAAATCAAATCAACGCGACCACTGACATTACGGCTGGGTCATGTTATAGAGAGGTACATTGAAATTCAAAGGTCAGCACAAATGGTCAAAATCCGACATTTTCTCACCTTCCTGCCCATTCACAGCTCAGAAAATGACAATGACCAGCCTCATCTCGTTGTGCAGCTGGCCATAGACAAGTGCACCAAGAAAAAGAGCCACATTTCTATAAAGAACTTGCCCAGGGCTGCTGAAAGCTGAAAAATGACCAATCTCACAGTTTGGGGCTTTTTACCCGTGAATCTTCACTTTGCGACTAAACTATTCACAGCAGTGCCACATTTTCTGGGTCACTGAATGTGGATTCCAGCGCCCTACAAGCAAACCAAAAATCAAATCAATGCGACCACTGACATTACAGCTGGGTCATGTTATAGAGAGGTACATTGAAATTCAAAGGTCAGCACAAATGGTCAAAATCCGACATTTTCTCACCTTCCTGCCCGTTCACAGCTCAGAAAATGACAATGACCGGCCTCATCTCGTTCTGCAGCTGGACATAGACAAGTGCACCAAGAAAAAGAGCCACATTTCTCTAAAGAACTTGCCCAGGGCTGCTGAAAGCTGAAAAATAACCAATCTCACAGTTTGGGGCTTTTTACCCGTGAATCTTCACTTTGCGACTAAACTATTCACAGCAGTGCCACATTTTCTGGGTCACTGAATGTGGGTGCCAGCGCCCTACAAGCAAACCAAAAATCAAATCAATGCGACCACTGACATTACAGCTGGCTCATTTTATAGAGAGGTACATTGAAATTCAAAGGTCAGCACAAATGGTCAAAATCCGACATTTTCTCACCTTCCCGCCCGTTCACAGCTCAGAAAATGACAATGACCAGCCTCATTTTGTTGTGCAGCTGGACATAGACAAGTGCACCAAGAAAAAGAGCCACATTTCTCTAAAGAACTTGCCCAGGGCTGCTGAAAGCTGAAAAATAACCAATCTCACAGTTTGGGGCTTTTTACCCGTGAATCTTCACTTTGCGACTAAACTATTCACAGCAGTGCCAAATTTTTTGGGTCACTGAATGTGGGTGCCAGCGCCCTACAAGCAAACCAAAAATCAGATCAATGCTACCACTGACATTACAGCTGGGTCATGTTATAGAGAGGTACATTGAAATTCAATGGTCAGCACAAATGGTCAAAATCCGACATTTTCTCACATTCCTGCCCGTTCACAGCTCAGAAAATGACAATGACCAGCCTCATCTCGTTGTGAAGCTTGACATAGACAAGTGCACCAAGAAAAAGAGCCACATTTCTCGAAAGAACTTGCCCAGGGCTGCTGAAAGCTGAAAAATAACCAATCTCACGGTTTGGGGCTTTTTACCCGTGAATCTTCACTTTGCGACTAAACTATTCACAGCAGTGCCACATTTTCTGGGTAACTGAATGTGGATGCCAGCGCCCTACAACCAAACCAAAAATCAAATCAATGCGACCACTGACATTACAGCTGGGTCATGTTAGAGAGAGGTACATTGAAATTCAAAGGTCAGCACAAATGGTCAAAATCCGACATTTTCTCACCTTCCTGCCCGTTCACAGCTCAGAAAATGACAATAACCAGCCTCATCTTGTTGTGCAGCTGGACATAGACAAGTGCACCAAGAAAAAGAGCCACATTTCTCTAAAGAACTTGCCCACGGCTGCTGAAAGCTGAAAAATAACCAATCTCAAAGTTTGGGGCTTTTTACCCGTGAATCTTCACTTTGCGACTAAACTATTCACAGCAGTGCCACATTTTCTGGGTCACTGAATGTGGGTGCCAGCGCCCTACAAGCAAACCAAAAATCAAATCAATGCGACCACTGACATTACAGCTGGGTCATGTTATAGAGAGGTACATTGAAATTCAAAGGTCAGCACAAATGGTCAAAATCCGACATTTTCTCACCTTCCTGCCCGTTCACAGCTAAGAAAATGACAATGAGCAGCCTCATCTCGTTGTGCAGCTGGACATAGAAAAGTGCACCAAGAAAAAGAGCCACATTTCTCTAAAGAACTTGCCCAGGGCTGCTGAAAGCTGAAAATAACCAATCTCACAGTTTGGGGCTTTTTACCCGTGAATCTTCACTTTGCGACTAAACTATTCACAGCAGTGCCAATTTTTTTGGGTCACTGAATGTGGGTGCCAGCGCCCTACAAGCAAACCAAAAATCAAATCAATGCGACCACTGACATTACAGCTGGGTCATGTTATAGAGAGGTACATTGAAATTCAAAGGTCAGCACAAATGGTCAAAATCCGACATTTTCTCACCTTCCTGCCCGTTCACAGCTCAGAAAATGACAATGACCAGCCTCATCTTGTTGTGCAGCAGGACATAGACAAGTGCACCAAGAAAAAGAGCAACATTTCTCTAAAGAACTTGCCCAGGGCTGCTGAAAGCTGAAAAATAACCAATCTCACAGTTTGGGGCTTTTTACCCGTGAATCTTCACTTTGCGACTAAACTATTCACAGCAGTGCCAAATTTTTTGGGTCACTAAATGTGGGTGCCAGCGCCCTACAAGCAAACCAAAAATCAAATCAATGCTACCACCGACATTACAGCTGGGTAATGTTATAGAGAGGTACATTGAAATTCAAAGGTCAGCACAAATGGTCAAAATCCGACATTTTCTCACATTCCCGCCCGTTCACAGCTCAGAAAATGACAATGACCAGCCTCATCTCGTTGTGCAGCTGGACATAGACAAGTGCACCAAGAAAAAGAGCCACATTTCTCTAAAGAACTTGCCCAGGGCTGCTGAAAGCTGAAAAATAACCAATCTCACAGTTTGGGGCTTTTTACCCGTGAATCTTCACTTTGCGACTAAACTATTCACAGCTGTGCCACATTTTCTGGGTAACTGAATGTGGATGCCAGCGCCCTACAAGCAAACCAAAAATCAAATCAATGCGACCACTGACATTACAGCTGGGTCATGTTATAGAGAGGTACATTGAAATTCAATGGTCAGCACAAATGGTCAAAATCCGACATTTTCTCACCTTCCTGCCCGTTCACAGCTCAGAAAATGACAATGACCAGCCTTATCTCATTGTGCAGCTGGACATAGACAAGTGCACCAAGAAAAACAGCCACATGTCTCTAAAGAACTTGCCCAGGGCTGCTGAAAGCTGAAAAATAACCAATCTCACAGTTTGGGGCTTTTTACCCGTGAATCTTCACTTTGCGACTAAACTATTCACAGCAGTACCACATTTTCTGGGTCACTGAATGTGGGTTCCAGCGCCCTACAAGCAAACCAAAAATCAAATCAACGCGACCACTGACATTACAGCTGGGTCATGTTATAGAGAGGTACATTGAAATTCAAAGGTCAGCACAAATGGTCAAAATCCGACATTTTCTCACCTTCTTGCCCGTTCACAGCTCAGAAAATGACAATGACCAGCCTCATCTCGTTGTGCAGCTGGCCATAGACAAGTGCACCAAGAAAAAGAGCCACATTTCTCTAAAGAACTTGCCCAGGGCTGCTGAAAGCTGAAAAATGACCAATCTCACAGTTTGGGGCTTTTTACCCGTGAATCTTCACTTTGCGACTAAACTATTCACAGCAGTGCCACATTTTCTGGGTCACTGAATGTGGATGCCAGCGCCCTACAAGCAAACCAAAAATCAAATCAATGCGACCACTGACATTACAGCTGGGTCATGTTATAGACAGGTACATTGAAATTCAAAGGTCAGCACAAATGGTCAAAATCCGACATTTTCTCACCTTCCTGCCCATTCACAGCTCAGAAAATGACAATGACCAGCCTCATCTCGTTGTGCAGCTGGACATAGACAAGTGCACCAAGAAAAAGAGCCACATTTCTCTAAAGAACTTGCCCAGGGCTGCTGAAAGCTGAAAAATAACCAATCTCACAGTTTGGGGCTTTTTACCCGTGAATCTTCACTTTGCGACTAAACTATTCACAGCAGTGCCACATTTTCTGGGTCACTGAATGTGGGTGCCAGCGCCCTACAAGCAAACCAAAAATCAAATCAATGCGACCACTGACATTACAGCTGGGTCATGTTATAGAGAGGTACATTGAAATTCAAAGGTCAGCACAAATGGTCAAAATCCGACATTTTCTCACCTTCCTGCCCGTTCACAGCTCAGAGAATGACAATGACCAGCTTCATCTTGTTGTGCAGCTGGACATAGACAAGTGCACCAGGAAAAAGTGCAACATTTCTCTAAAGAACTTGCCCAGGGCTGCTGAAAGCTGAAAAATAACCAATCTCACAGTTTGGGGCTTTTTACCCGTGAATCTTCACTTTGCGACTAAACTATTCACAGCAATGCCACATTTTCTGGGTCACTGAATGTGGGTGCCAGCGCCCTACAAGCAAACCAAAAATCAAATCAATGCGACCACTGACATTACAGCTGGGTCATGTTATAGAGAGGTACATTGAAATTCAAAGGTCAGCACAAATGGTCAAAATCCGACATTTTCTCACCTTCCTGCCCGTTCACAGCTCAGAAAATGACAATGACCAGCCTCATCTCGTTGTGCAGCTGGACATAGACAAGTGCACCAAGAAAAAGAGCCACATTTCTCTAAAGAACTTGCCCAGGGCTGCTGAAAGCTGAAAATAACCAATCTCACAGTTTGGGGCTTTTTACCCGTGAATCTTCACTTTGCGACTAAACTATTCACAGCAGTGCCAAATTTTTTGGGTCACTGAATGTGGGTGCCAGCGCCCTACAAGCAAACCAAAAATCAAATCAACGCGACCACTGACATTACAGCTGGGTCATGTTATAGAGAGGTAAATTGAAATTCAAAGGTCAGCACAAATGGTCAAAATCCGACAATTTCTCACCTTCCTGCCCGTTCACAGCTCAGAAAATGACAATGACCAGGCTCATCTTGTTGTGCAGCTGGACATAGACAAGTGCACCAAGAAAAAGAGCCACATTTCTCTAAAGAACTTGCCCAGGGCTGCTGAAAGCTGAAAAATAACCAATCTCACAGTTTGGGGCTTTTTACCCGTGAATCTTCACTTTGCGACTAAACTATTCACAGCAGTGCCAAATTTTTTGGGTCACTGAATGTGGGTGCCAGCGCCCTACAAGCAAACCAAAAATCAAATCAATGTGACCACTGACATTACAGCTGGGTCATGTTATAGAGAGGTACATTGAAATTCAAAGGTCAGCACAAATGGTCAAAATCCGACATTTTCTCACCTTCCTGCCCGTTCACAGCTCAGAAAATGACAATGACCAGCCTCATCTCCTTGTTCAGCTTGACATAGACAAGTGCACCAAGAAAAGGAGCCACATTTCTCTAAAGAACTTGCCCAGGGCTGCTGAAAGCTTAAAAATAACCAATCTCACAGTTTGGGGCTTTTTACCCGTGAATCTTCACTTTGCGACTAAACTATTCACAGCAGTGCCACATTTTCTGGGTCACTGAATGTGGATGCCAGCGCCCTACAAGCAAATCAAAAATCAAATCAATGCGACCACTGACATTACAGCTGGGTCATGTTATAGAGAGGTACATTGTAATTCAAAGGTCAGCACAAATGGTCAAAATCCGACATTTTCTCACCTTCCTGCCCGTTCACAGCTCAGAAAATGACAATGACCAGCCTCATCTTGTTGTGCAGCTGGACATAGACAAGTGCACCAAGAAAAAGAGCCACATTTCTCTAAAGAACTTGCCCAGGGCTGCTGAAAGCTGAAAAATAACCAATCTCACAGTTTGGGGCTTTTTACCCGTGAATCTTCACTTTGCGACTAAACTATTCACAGCAGTGCCAAATTTTTGGGTCACTGAATGTGGGTGCCAGCGCCCTACAAGCAAACCAAAAATCAGATCAATGCTACCACTGACATTACAGCTGGGTCATGTTATAGAGAGGTACATTGAAATTCAAAAGTCAGCACAAATGGTCAAAATCCGACATTTTCTCACATTCCTGCCCGTTCACAGCTCAGAAAATGACAATGACCAGCCTCATCTCGTTGTTCAGCTTGACATAGACAAGTGCACCAAGAAAAAGAGCCACATTTCTCGAAAGAACCTGCCCAGGGCTGCTGAAAGCTGAAAAATAACCAATCTCACAGTTTGGGGCTTTTTACCCGTGAATCTTCACTTTGCGACTAAACTATTCACAGCAGTGCCACATTTTCTGTGTAACTGAATGTGGGTGCCAGCGCCCTACAAGCAAACCAAAAATCAAATCAATGCGACCACTGACATTACAGCTGGGTCATGTTATAGAGAGGTACATTGATATTCAAAGGTCAGCACAAATTTATTTATTTATTTATTTATTCAACATCTTATGGCTTCCGATGGCAGCCAAAACGGGAAGATGTGGGTGATAGCCAACCATGGTAAAAGAAGGAGAAGATTATATCCATGAAAAGGAAACAGCCGAAAAGCTATATTGATTAGTTTTTACTTGCAAGTATTATTATTATGGTGCACTCAGTCATCAGCAGGCCCTCAGATTCACTTTAAATTCTTTCAATGATGCAGAAGTCTTCACTGATTCGGGAAGTTGTAGCCATGCACAGTAGCCCTGGAAGAATGGCGATCTTGTGAATTGCGTTGACTTGGCCTTGGGAAGAGACACTTTGTTTCTGATTGAGCGGCCCGAAACAAACCAGTTATAAGGCTTTATATGTTCAGGAACACAACCCAAGAGAATTCGATGAACCAATATACAGAGGCAAGTTAGTCGGCGTTGCTCTAACGGAGTAGTCTGAGCTAATAAGTACAACTCATTGGAGGGAAAGGAAGGTTTCTTCGAGAACAAAATTTTTAGAACTTTCTTATGATGAACTTCAATAGAATCGGATAAGACCTTAGCTAGGCCACACCAGGCTGTGGCAGCATATTCAAACAATGGAAGGAGATAAATTTTATATATAGCGGAACGGCACGGAATAGAGAGATGTTTACAATGACTTTTAATATAGCCAAGAGCACGGCTGACTTTATTACAAATGTAATCTACATGAGCCGACCAGGACATGGATGAATCGAACATTACCCCTAGGTGCTTGTGCTCCTTTACCGTCTGAATTTCTGTGGGTGAATTGGGAAAGGTGAACTTAAACATTGAGGCAGAATCTGTTAGAAACAGTACTTTGGTTTTTGAAACGTTTGCCTGAAGCCTCCAACTGGACATCCAGGTGACAATCATATTTATCGCGTCTTGCAACTCTGACTCAAGCTGTTTGACAGTTTTACAGTGGCGCAAAGCAGCTGTGTCGTCAGCAAACAATGACATTCCAGAAACATGACTTGGTAGATCATTAACATACAAAACAAAAAGCAATGGTCCAAGAATTGAGCCCTGAGGCACCCCCGACAGCACGGGTAGCTTTGGAGAGTCTGCTCCCGACACGGACACAAACTGGCTTCTCCCAGAAAGATAGCTCTCTATCCACTTCAACGGTGTGTCAGAGATGTTAAATATGACTTGAAGCTTCCTCAAGAGACCTCTATGCCACACTGTGTCGAACGCCTTTGCAAGATCGAAGAAGCAAATGCCCGTGTACAACTTTTCTGCTCTTGCTCCGATAATGTCCTGTACAAGGCGAGTCAGCTGCAGTGAAGTTGAGTCTCCACGACGAAAGCCAGACTGAGCAGGGTGAATGGCAGGGGCAACATGGCTATACAACTGATCATAAAATATTCGTTCACATAATTTTGAAATGCATGATAAGAGAGAGATTGGCCTGTAATTTCCAGGAGTAGCTTTACTACCTTTGCCCTTAAATATCGGCGTTATTTTGGCCACTTTCCATGCCGATGGAAACTTCCCTTTTCTGAAAGACAAATTAAATAGAAGACATAAAGGATATGATAATGATGGTGCTAGAGCCTTAACAACTTCATTGGAGATGCCGTCCATACCAGGCGATTTGTTAAGCTTAAGCTTCGCAATAGCTTTGCGCACTCCAGCTGTGGTTATTATCGGAGCACGAAACGCATTCGGGAGGCAAGGGTGTTGGTCTAAGGACGGCAATGGTATGCGCGGGTCGTCAACAACCGCCACTGATGCAAATTGCTCGTTCAAAGCTGCAGCTTTAGCTGCAGGGTCTGCTGCCAACTTTCCATTTGATGCGAGGTCAGGTATTCCAGGGCTATTTCCCGAAGATCTCTGCATGCGAATGAATTGATGCAATGAAGGGTGATTACTGGTATCGCAAATCAGGACCTGCAGCTTTCGGATATACTCCCGGTGACATTTCCGGGACAGCGACCTCACAATATTTCGTTGCTTTTTAAACAGATATTTGTTGACAGGACTTGGGTACTTCCTACTCCGACTGTGAAGTTCCGCCTTGTGACGGATAGCACCTTTCAATTCCGCATTAATCCAGGGCGGAAGTTGTTTCGACAGGCGTGATCTCCCTGTATCCCTGATGGAGCAACGGTCATAGTGCTGCACACTAATGTGCTGCGTAAAGATGCGGTCTAGAACAGTCTGAATATTTGCAAGTGATTCGTCCACATCTGACGTAACAACCGTATGCCAGGCAACTGCCGCTAGATCATCATTAATACCCGCCCACGTGGTAGGTGTCACTCTCTTAAAATTGTACTTACGGGCAGAAGATGACTGCACAAAATCCCTGGATGAAGCACAAGAGGGAAGCGGGTCCATGGGGATATCAAACTGGCATGAAACGAGGAGGTGATCCGATGCATCCAGAGCACAGGCTGTGTCTATGGACGACACTAGTTGGCTACGATTGCTGAAGATGAGGTCCAAGCATGCCTGGTTGCCTGAAGGTGCGGTGTGCGTGTTTGTGGCGACCAGTTGTTGAAGACCAAAGCAGCCAAACTCTCGTTGTATTGCAGCACCAGCAGGGCATGTATGGTCTGTTGAGCACCAAATAAATAGTCAAAATCCGACATTTTCTCACCTTCCTGCCCGTTCACAGCTCAGAAAATGACAGTGACCAGCCTCATCTTGTTGTGCAGCTGGAAATAGACAAGTGCACCAAGAAAAAGAGCCACATTTCTCTAAAGAACTTGCCCAGGGCTGCTGAAAGCTGAAAAATAACCAATCTCACAGTTTGGGGCTTTTTACCCGTGAATCTTCACTTTGCGACTAAACTATTCACAGCAGTGCCAAATTTTTTGGGTCACTGAATGTGGGTGCCAGGGCCCTACAAGCAAACCAGAAATCAAATCAATGCTACCACTGACATTACAGCTGGGTCATGTTATAGAGAGGTACATTGAAATTCAAAGGTCAGCACAAATGGTCAAAATCCGACATTTTCTCACCTTCCTGCCCGTTCACAGCTCAGAAAATGACAATGACCAGCCTCATCTCGTTGTGCAGCTTGACATAGACAAGTGCACCAAGAAAAAGAGCCACATTTCTCTAAAGAACTTGCCCAGGGCTGCTGAAAGCTGAAAAATAACCAATCTCACAGTTTGGGGCTTTTTACCCGTGAATCTTCATTTGGCGACTAAAATATTCACAGTAGTGCCACATTTTCTAAGTCACTGAATGTGGATGCCAGCGCCCTACAAGCAAACCAAAAATCAAATCAATGCTACCACTGACATTACAGCTGGGTCATGTTATAGAGAGGTACATTGAAATTCAAAGGTCAGCACAAATGGTCAAAATCCGACATTTTTTCACCTTCCTGCCCGTTCACAGCTCAGAAAATGACAATGACCAGCCTCATCTCGTTGTGCAGCTGGACATAGACAAGTGCAGCAAGAAAAAGAGCCACATTTCTCGAAAGAACTTGCCCAGGGCTGCTGAAAGCTGAAAAATAACCAATCTCACAGTTTGGGGCTTTTTACCCGTGAATCTTCACTTTGCGACTTAACTATTCACAGCAGTGCCAAATATTTTGGGTCACTGAATGTGGGTGCCAGCCCTACAAGAAAACCAAAAATCAAATCAATTGGACCACTGACATTACAGCTCGGTCATGTTATAGAGAGGTACATTGAAATTCAAAGGTCAGCACAAATGGTCAAAATCCGACATTTTCTCACCGTCCTGCGCGTTCACAGCTCAGAAAATGACAACGACCAGCCTCATCTCGTTGTGCAGCTGGACATAGACAAGTGCAGCAACAAAAAGAGCCACATTTCTCTAAAGAACTTGCCCAGGGCTGCTGAAAGCTGAAAAATAACCAATCTCACAGTTTGGGGCTTTTTACCCGTGAATCTTCACTTTGCGACTAAACTATTCACACCAGTGCCGCATTTGGGTCACTGAATGTGGATGCCAGCGCCCTACAAGCAAACCAAAAATCAAATCAATGCGACCACTGACATTACAGCTGGGTCATGTTACAGAGAGGTACATTGAAATTCAAAGGTCAGAACAAATGGTCAAAATCCGACATTTTTTCACCTTCCTGCCCGTTCACAGCTCAGAAAATGACAATGACCAGCCTCATCTCGTTGTGCAGCTGGACATAGACAAGTGCAGCAAGAAAAAGAGCCACATTTCTCGAAAGAACTTGCCCAGGGCTGCTGAAAGCTGAAAAATAACCAATCTCACAGTTTGGGGCTTTTTACCCGTGAATCTTCACTTTGCGACTTAACTATTCACAGCAGTGCCAAATATTTTGGGTCACTGAATGTGGGTGCCAGCGCCCTACAAGCAAACCAAAAATCAAATCAATTGGACCACTGACATTACAGCTCGGTCATGTTATAGAGAGGTACATTGAAATTCAAAGGTCAGCACAAATGGTCAAAATCCGACATTTTCTCACCTTCCTGCACGTTCACAGCTCAGAAAATGACAATGACCAGCCTCATCTCGTTGTGCAGCTGGACATAGACAAGTGCAGCAACAAAAAGAGCCACATTTCTCTAAAGAACTTGCCCAGGGCTGCTGAAAGCTGAAAAATAACCAATCTCACAGTTTGGGGCTTTTTACCCGTGAATCTTCACTTTGCGACTAAACTATTCACACCAGTGCCGCATTTGGGTCACTGAATGTGGATGCCAGCGCCCTACAAGCAAACCAAAAATCAAATCAATGCGACCACTGACATTACAGCTGGGTCATGTTATAGAGAGGTACATTGAAATTCAAAGGTCAGAACAAATGGTCAAAATCCGACATTTTTTCACCTTCCTGCCCGTTCACAGCTCAGAAAATGACAATGACCAGCCTCATCTCGTTGTGCAGCTGGACATAGACAAGTGCAGCAAGAAAAAGAGCCACTTTCCTCGAAAGAACTTGCCCAGGGCTGCTGAAAGCTGAAAAATAACCAATCTCACAGTTTGGGGCTTTTTACCCGTGAATCTTCACTTTGCGACTAAACTATTCACGTCAGTGCCAAATTTTTGGGGTCACTGAATGTGGGTGCCAGCGCCCTATAAGCAAACCAAAAATCAAATCAATGCGACCACTGACATTACAGCTGGGTCATGTTATAGAGAGGTACATTGAAATTCAAAGGTCAGCACAAATGGTCAAAATCCGACATTTTCTCACCTTCCTGCCCGTTCACAGCTCAGAAAATGACCATGACCAGCCTCATCTTGTTGTGCAGCTGGACATAGACAAGTGAACCAAGAAAAAGAGCCACATTTCTCTAAAGAACTTGCCCATGGCTGCTGAAAGCTGAAAAATAACCAATCTCACAGTTTGGGGCTTTTTACCCGTGAATCTTCACTTTGCGACTAAACTATTCACACCAGTGCCGCATTTGGGTAACTGAATGTGGATGCCAGCGCCCTACAAGCAAACCAAAAATCAAATCAATGCGACCACTGACATTACAGCTGGGTCATGTTATAGAGAGGTACATTGAAATTGAAAGGTCAGCACAAATGGTCAAAATCCGACATTTTCTCACCTTCCTGCCCGTTCACAGCTCAGAAAATGACAATGACCAGCCTCATCTTGTTGTGCAGCTGGATATAGACAAGTGCACCAAGAAAAACAGCCACATTTCTCTAAAGAACTTGCCCAGGGCTGCTGAAAGCTGAAAAATAACCAATCTCACACTTTGGGGCTTTTTACCCGTGAATCTTCACTTTGCGACTTAACTATTCACAGCAGTGCCACATTTTCTGAGTCACTGAATGTGGATGCCAGCGCCCTACAAGCAAACCAAAAATCAAATCAATGCGACCACTGACATTACAGCTGGGTCATGTTATAGAGAGGTACATTGAAATTCAAAGGTCAGCACAAATGGTCAAAATCCGACATTTTCTCACCTTCCTGCCCGTTCACAGCTCAGAAAATGACAATGACCAGCCTCATCTTGTTATGCAGCTGGACATAGACAAGTACACCAAGAAAAAGAGCCACATTTCTCTAAAGAACTTGCCCAGGGCTGCTGAAAGCTGAAAAATAACCAATCTCACAGTTTGGGGCTTTTTACCCGTGAATCTTCACTTTGCGACTAAACTATTCACAGCAGTGCCACATTTTCTGGGTCACTGAATGTGGATGCCAGCGCCCTACAAGCAAACCAAAAATCAAATCAATGCGACCACTGACATTACAGCTGGGTCATGTTATAGAGAGGTACATTGAAATTCAAAGGTCAGCACAAATGGTCAAAATCCGACATTTTCTCACCTTCCTGCCCGTTCACAGCTCAGAAAATGACAAGGACCAGCCTCATCTCGTTGTGCAGCTGGACATAGACAAGTGCACCAAGAAAAAGAGCCACATTTCTCTAAAGAACTTGCCCAGGGCTGCTGAAAGCTGAAAAATAACCAATCTCACAGTTTGGGGCTTTTTACCCGTGAATCTTCACTTTGCGACTAAACTATTCACAGCAGTGCCAAATATTTTGGGTCACTGAATGTGGGTGCCAGCGCCCTACAAGCAAACCAAAAATCAAATCAATGCGACCACTGACATTACAGCTGGGTCATGTTATAGAGAGGTACATTGAAATTCAAAGGTCAGCACAAATGGTAAAAATCCGACATTTTCTCACCTTCCTGCCCATTCACAGCTCAGAAAATGACAATGACCAGCGTCATCTCGTTGTGCAGCGGGACATAGTCAAGTGAACCAAGAAAAAGAGCCACATTTCTCTAAAGAACTTGCCCAGGGCTGCTGAAAGCTGAAAAATAACCAATCTCACAGTTTGGGGCTTTTTACCCGTGAATCTTCACTTTGCGACTAAACTATTCACAGCAGTGCCACATTTTCTGGGTCACTGAATGTGGATGCCAGCACCCTAGAAGCAAACTAAAAATCAAATCAATGCGACCACTGACATTACAGCTGGGTCATGTTATAGAGAGGTACATTGAAATTCAATGGTCAGCACAAATGGTCAAAATCCGACATTTTCTCACCTTCCTGCCCGTTCACAGTTAAGAAAATGACAATGACCAGCCTCATCTTGTTGTGCAGCTGGACATAGACAAGTGCACCAAGAAAAAGAGCCACATTTCTCTAAAGAACTTGCCCAGGGCTGCTGAAAGCTGAAAAATAACCAATCTCACAGTTTGGGGCTTTTTACCCGTGAATCTTCACTTTGCGACTAAACTATTCACAGCAGTGCCACATTTTTTGGGTCACTGAATGTGGATGTCAGCGCTCTACAAGCAAACCAAAAATCAAATCAATGCGACCACTGACATCACAGCTGGGTCATGTTATAGAGAGGTACATTGAAATTCAAAGGTCAGCACAAATGGTCAAAATCCGACATTTTCTCACCTTCCTGCCCGTTCACAGCTCAGGAACTGACAATGACCAGCCTCATCTTGTTGTGCAGCAGGACATAGACAAGTGCACCAAGAAAAAGAGCCACATTTCTCTAAAGAACTTGCCCAGGGCTGCTGAAAGCTGAAAAATATCCAATCTCACAGTTTGGGGCTTTTTACCCGTGAATCTTCACTTTGCGACTAAACTATTCACAGCAGTGCCACATTTTTTTGGGTCACTGAATGTGGGTGCCAGCGCCCTACAAGGAAACCAAAAATCAAATCAATGCTACCACTGACATTACAGCTGAGTCATGTTATAGAGAGGTACATTGAAATTCAAAGGTCAGCACAAATGGTCAAAATCCGACATTTTCTCACCTTCCTGCCCGTTCACAGCTCAGAAAATGACAATGACCAGCCTCATCTTGTTGTGCAGCTGGCCATAGACAAGTGCACCAAGAAAAAAACCCACATTTCTCTAAAGAATTTGCCCAGGGCTGCTGAAAGCTGAAAAATAACCAATCTCACAGTTTGGGGCTTTTTACCCGTGAATCTTCACTTTGCGACTATACTCTTCGCAGCAGTGCCAAATTTTTTGGGTCACTGAATGTGGGTGCCAGGGCCCTACAAGCAAACCAAAAATCAAATCAATGCGACCACTGACATTACAGCTGG